TGATATGGGGGCAGTCTAAGCACAGTAATGCCTTGTGCTGTGGCCATCTCGTCTACAATACACTGTTGATATTTGTATTTCTCCTGACCCACAATTTCCAATAAATTAACTTTTAGCATTTTTTTCTTCAAAATTTAAATTTTTTGAAGTCAACCACGCTTGGATATCGCCTTTTCTCCATGCACTCGTTGGTACTTTTTCGACCTTCCTCGAATGATAGGGAGCATTATCCAACACTACTACCGAGTTTGGTTTTAATTTTGGAAGTATTTTTGTGAACCACTCCTCAAATACTTCCCCAGTCATCTCCTTGTGGTAATCTGCCAAGCCTTTTTTTGCCTCAAAAACTAATAAACCATCTTCCAAAAAATCCTTCTTCGCTCCCTATATGGCTAACTATAAGTCGCCCCCCCTTTGCCTGTTGGTGCCTTAAGCCCTGTTGTCAAGCCATCGAGGAAAGCTTGTCGTGAAGATTGAATGTTGGTATCACACCACACTTTATTGACGGTATGTCCTGAAAATAAAAATATATTTAATATTTCACTTATACATGAGGACAGTTATATATGCATATAAATTGAAAAATATTACCTGTAAACATGGATTTCTTTATTTATTTATTCATTTTGGTAACAAAAATTTATTAACAAAGTTAATTTAAGTATTACATAAGTACAGAATTCGATTTCCGACTAATACTTTGAAGAAAAAGATAGGTTATAAAAAGTTAATTACCACATAATTCAATACTTGCCTTCGTTTACCCACGTTTCATCCTGGTAATATATAAGCCTGCCTTCTCTTCTATATTGTTTAATTTGGTGCAAGTATTTTTGACGCCATAGTACTATCTCCTTGCGATCTGTTAGCGCACTTCGACGTTTGCGACTTGTGTATTTAAAATTTAAATGCTTCAATACTTTTCTTAATGTTGATTTCGACATAACAGGCATGTCTGGATCACCAGTTATCTCTTGGTGAATCTGAAATAAGCATTTACATTACAGTTAAAATGTAGACAGGCAACACAGGTTAAAGTATAGTTTTAAAACAATGGGGGATGTCAGCAACGAGGTGTTAAAGAATTAGCAATAACTTTACCTTTTCAATAGTCGGAATCTCGTTCCTGTAGAAAAACGCGTGAACCTTTCGTCGAGTTGCGGCGAAAGTGAATTCGTCAAATTTTTTGTATGAAAGATAGTTGAGGTCCACTCTTTTTTCGGCTTTTGAAATTCTTTTGTGTCTTTATATTCTTTGGTAATTTTATAGACACTTGACAGACCCACGCCAGTCATCTCAGAAGTCTTTTTTAGCACATTCCGTTGCACTCCAATCAGTTGTTTGCGGCCAATTTTCTATATTATATTTGTAAATATTTAGAATTATGGTCTTTTCGTTGGGCGTAAAAGCACCACGAGGACGCTTCTTTCTGGGAGAAAGAAAGTCTAAGCCTTGTGCTCTGTCAGATGGGGCTGCTTCCCGGGAAGGGCCAGGTTGTGGCTCCATAACGTTTATAAAAATCAACAAACGATCACAAAACGAAAGGTCAACAAGAAAAAACTTAACAGAATAACAGAAACTTAACAAATATAACAAGATAATAACAACAAATAGCAGCAAACACCGAGAACACATGCGCATTCGAGCATTCAAAGAAGTCGAATGAAAATCAATCAATGTGACAGACGCGACGTGACAGCTAACATTTTTTTAAAAGGTTTTTTAAACCTGGAATTAGTAGACAGTGATGCCAGCTAAAGAATAAAATATTAAGTAATTAAAGTTAATTAGATATATTGTTCGTGATATTGAAATATTTGTTATTTTTGTATTAGGTGACTTGTATAAGTAAATATTTAGATTTACCTTTTTGTAGGTGAAACATAAAAAATACGTAGCATTTTATTATTTATTGCCCTCAAATGGTTCAAATTTGTCTCTTTTTCGGTGGAGAACTTTTTTAGTAGCAACACTTACGAAATGTCAGAATTCTACGGAATGAAAAATCAGAGTTTAGTTGATATAAAGTTTTCATTATTAATATAATTCAATCATCAACCAGACCATCAAAATAATTTTTCCTTGTAGCTGATAAGGCGTCATTTCTTGAAGACCATTTAGTTGAACACCTTTTTAAGGCTAATATTATATAATTTAGATGAATCGTTACTCAGTATTGACAAGCGTTTTATACCATTGTTAAAAAAAAGTATATTTTTTGGGTTATATGAGTTTACTTTTATCTGTTCTTTCGAATTTTTACCCCCAGTACAGTTTAATACAGACACTTTAATTATTAATTAATTTTTAATAATCAAAAATTTTATTAAAAACATACTGTGTATTGCCTTTACCGTAACCGTTAAATCCTATTAAAGTCCATGTTTTATGTATTGTAAAATTGAAATAAAATTAAATCAAATTAAACTTCTCGTTTTAAAAAATATATTGCGTAATTTATAAATTTTACAATTTGTCCAGGCAATTACCATTACTAATTTCATTATCGAGTAGACGTAATTTAATATCCTAGATAAATTCGTCACTTTTAATGTACATTTGCAATCGTATTCTAAATTTCTTTGCTACAACAGATGTTATTTGCAAGCAAAACGTTACTAATGAATGTTTGTCTTCATTTTAAATTATTTTATGCCAAGATTCTAATGAATCTGTAATTCTGTGAGGTATTCTTTTTATTTCAGCGTTGACCTCCACAACGTTGGCGGGTTTTATCACATTTCTATAAATGACTGCACAGAATTGTTTTTGTTGTTGTTTTTATTTAAAACGTTACCCCACACTAGGATTTTCTCCTGTGTCGTGTGGGCAGTTTACAAACATAAATTGCACAAGGACAAACATCCAGACCCGGAACATTTACTAGCCACTGCGCTTTAAATTTTGACAGGTCTTCTTTAGGCTCGTTGGGCACAGTGAGATTGTGGATAACATTTTACGAATGTTTGCTTACACACGTTACGCATCATCGATATACCTGATACGGCGGTAGCTACGCCCCTGTTATTACAGTTAGGGATGGAATATCCAAAAATCATTAAATACATGTTGTTTCTTATAGAATGCTCATAATAGTGCTGTCAAAAATATTATAAAACATGAGAGAATTTTAAACGACATATCATCTTAATAGGTAGAATTAAAATGAGCGAATAGTTCAAAAAGAATTACAGAAGAATTTAGCAAGATCTTTTCTTGGTGAGTTAGTGGATTTCTTAATAAAAGTATGCCATATTATCAAAATTTCACGCTTCTATGTACAGCGGGTTGGACTGTGCGTCATATCGATATTTTTTAAATACAACTTACAGCCTAGTTTTAACACCCTAAAGAAAAATTATTGAAAAAATAAAAACTGACAATTTTATCAAATAATAAAAACAGTTAATTAAGTTTTTCCTATACAGATTTGAACAACCTTCTGGCCCCTCGTTTGTATAGTTCTTTTGGAAAATGAAAAGTTTTATACAATCTGTAAAACCCTATTTCACCCTATTAGGGGTTGAATTTTTCAAAGTCCCTTCTGAGTGGATAAAAGGCAGCTTCTGTCCAAATTACAGATTTCTACGTCAGCGGTTTAGACTGTACGTTGATAGATTACTCAGTTACTCAAGGCATCTCCACTCACTGCTACTGTCAGTACAGCTAGTCACACGTCCATTGCTGAACATCAGCCTCCCTCATAATCTCTTACAAATGGCCACCATGAATCGACCTGCGTGTTTCATTATACCATCGTCATAGCATCTAGCGGGGGATCAGCTGCGCGTTCCAATACGAGTCTGCCACTCGAGAATTTTTCTTCCTCATCAGTTGTCGATTCTTCGAGCTATATGACCGACTCATTGTGAGTTAAGGTTCCTGATCTGAAGGGCTATGTCAGCTTTTGTTCTTCTTGGGATATGCTCTTTCTCCCTTTTTCTATTTCTCTTCTTTCGACTTTATCCCGCAGAGAATTTTCTAGTATAACCTTTTCCATCGTACGCCATTGCCTTAGTACATCGGGGAAATTCAATATTCTCGAAATATTTTTACTAAGTCCCTTGATCGATTGGATTCCCAATTTAGGTGGCAGCAATAATTAGAGAACTATGGCTGATTTAGTTAGTTACAGCCTATATAACTGAAGCATAATAAAAAGTTGCAGTTTCCAAAGCTCCTACCAAGCGTTATGACAGTGGCAAATATCCCTATAAGTTCAGCAATAGATTTCTGACGGACCAAACAACCGTAACAAACGAATGGAAAAGTTTGTCCTCAAAACTAGTTCACAGTCCACCTGATAATAAAGTGCCCACAGCACTAGAAATCTGCAACTTCTTAAAACAAAAAAGGCTATGTATCATTTATGGCGCCTGATAGTCCAATTGGCAGCAAAAATAGGTAAATGTGACATAACTGATAGTATATGTAAATCGGATACAAAAATAAAAATAAGTTTTTCGATCTAATGAGTTTTGCGTGAAAAAACCTCTATTTATTTTTTCTAGTTGGTGTCAAAGAAGAAGCATCATCGAGTCTTATGTCAAACGGAGCACCATATTCAAAGTGTTTTATGTAATTTATAATAACATAGGGGAGCACAAGACTAGACTATCCATTGTATTCTGCACTCGTGTGAAATGTAAGACGATGGAATGGAACTTGCAACATGTAATATAAAGTTGTTGTTAGTCATCAGTGTATAAAATTTATTAAGTTTCCATTTTAATTGTGCGAGGTGCTTATCTTATAATGTAAACACAAAGTTTAATAATATTATGTAGCGAAAATTAATATGATACGATACAACTGGCGGAATTGTTAAATCATATTCCCACCGATGGAAACGAATTTTATATAGAGGGGCATTAATTAATCATCGTTCGGGCTAATGTTTTCAAATTAGTCATCATTTGGGCTAATGCTAGCTAATGCGCCCAACCGATCTCGGAATTAGTTTAATTGGCTGAAATTTTGGATCATTTCAACTTGAATTTTTAACCAGGAACCATGAAACCAAGATGAATTCCTGAACAAAAATTCCAACGATGTAATTAATGTTTACGAATTCAGGTTTTGAAATTCGTACATATTTAATGTTAGGTTTGATTTCATTGTAAATATTTTAGATAGATTAGACCAGACGTAAAATATCCAAACTAGCGCCGGGGAGAGCAACTTCAAAGGTGCGGGACGTCTGGTGGTGCGATCAACCCGCCCGTCAACTTTGACAATTAAGGCAAATTCTTCCTAAAACGAGAGAGGCTCGTGTTCACTAGATAAAATATCTTAAATAAATGTTAAAATACCGTAAGTATAAAAATTAAACGCCATTCTACCTAGTAATTCAAATGAAAGTGTCAAAATAATATAATTTAAGTAGATTAACTACAGATTATGGTTGTACGACAATAAAATTTCTTTGTATCTGTATTATCGAAGTTAAATATGATTTGTAACGAAAAGATATGTATTTCTAACGAAAATATATGTGAAAATATTATAAAATGTTGTGGTGGTTTATTTTATTGTTTACACGAATTCTTTATTCGTTGTTATTATGTTAATCGGCTTCCATTTATGTGTAAAGATTTGATCAGTAAAGTTGATATTTCATTTTATTTTTTACCTGTACAAAGCATTGTATATTTAGTTATAGTTTTAGTTACGTAACCAGTTTTATGAATATTTTATTTGTTTATGTCACACTTCAGTTTATGATTCTTCTTGATGTTAATATCTACGTACTAAAGACCATATCTTTACAACTGAATTTGTCGTTTTACTGCTTTTATGAATATCTCTTTTCAATGTTTGCCTCTAAAAGATGACATTGGGCTTGCTTTTTTTTAAATGCTTATGATTTACTTATCACACATGTTTTAGTCTTTTTGAATTAAAAAAAAAAAACATTGCGCCATATTACTTGTTGTCTTACGTTGCTAGGCAAAGATAACTTTCTTATTTGGTTTAGCCGAGACACCTCTGTTATACATTGTCATAATATAGTCTATTATAATGGCGGATAAGAATTTCTATTATGCAAAAAAATCGATTAGATAATTAAATATTTGTTCACTTAGTTACTAATTACAAGTAATTGCGTAAATTTATCATGTGTCCAGCTCACATTACACACATTCCACGGAATATAAAAGTTTATGGAAAAAATATTAACATCTGTTTTATTACATATAATTTATTTTATAAAATCAGCTATAGAATCACATTAAAATCAAGTATATATTTACGTGGATTGTTATCAGTTTCACTTAATTTTACTATCTACATTTTATGTAAAATACACAAAAGTGACACAAAGGCTACACGGATGGGTTCACAGGTGAAGAAAAATCAAGTTTATTAATAACACAGCTACAGTCTTCGTTTGCCAATTTTCATATCCTTAAAAAAATTTGGTGCGTTTATATGAATTTTATTAACATAAAAAAGATTTGGGTTTACTCTTCTTACTGATTATACAAATATTGATTAGGTCAAATATGTTACGTTACACAAACATGAAACTCTGGAAATATATTCCTATTAATTTTCTGACTATTTAATTTGTAAGGATAAGTCTACTTTCATATGTCATATGTAATCTTACATTTATATGTGCTAATAACTAATTTCCACATCAGATGAACTACACTTTGTATAGATACACTGAAATAGGTTATTTACATTATAGTTCATACTATACTTATATATAGGTAATACAGTCATAGATTTCACTGAAGTTGAGTTATATGAAATATGTTAGACTTTAAAAAATTGTTTGAAATAATTAGGTTTTTTACAAATAATTACTACTCAAGTTTAATTATACAGTTTGTTTTTTTTTACTGGGACTTTATGGGAAAATTCGAAAGGATAGAATACGGTAAACTATCAGAAGCACGGTCCTGAGCCACCTGCATCCATCGATTTTCACAACACGTATTATGTATTATCTATCTTCTATCTATCTATCTATCTATCTATCTATCTATCTATCTATCTATCTATCTATCTATCTATCTATCTATCTATCTATCTATCTATCTATCTATCTATCTATCTATCTATCTATCTATCCATCTATCTATCCATCTATCTATCTACATCATCGGATCGTAGAGTCCGTGTATTATAGGAAAAAAGGAGCGTGTAGGCGTATAGAGATATAAAAACACTATTTATTAAAGTACATATAGTCGTTGGGCGTGTTCGTCTATTACTTGAGAAATTCACCAAAGATACGGAGAGCGTTCGCGTATAGACATAACGTCATATAAGAATTCTATTAATTTAGCAACGACGTGCCTTCACTTTTTTTTATTTTAATTTTTAGGTCGTTTTTGTTAAAACAATTTTGCCAGACATTTTTGATCAAGTGTGAGTTTTTTGTTTTTGGATTGTACAATATTGCTTCATTTGACTTTATTTAGATGATTTTTAAACTATTTTCGATTGTTATTAGGAAGCTACTGCTCTACTCATCTCCTGTTTCGGTTTCCCTCTCACGTCTCTTACGAAATCTAGAAATAAAAGTATTAAAAGTGTTTGCTGAATGTGCTTGCTGGTGGGGAGGAAAGGTTTTTGAGTGACAAGTACGGGTATACATTTTAAACACCTCTAGCAGTTATATATAAAGATGGGTGTAATTCTTTTTTTTTTTTTTTTGGGCACACCCCCCGTTTTCCCTTTTTTCCCGGGCTTTGTGTTTTAATTTTTTCCGGTTTTTTTCTTGTGTATTTTGTTCAATTCAATTGACGATGTAATATCGGGATTAATAAAGTCGCTTATTCATTGCTCAGCATACTGCTAATAGTTTGAACGGTGTTTTTCTCATTCCACTGCCGGCCACTTATATTTTAATCAGTATCAGACGTGTTGTAAAAAAATGAAAAGCTTTGACGTTATAAGTTGAGCGAAATTATTATCTTACCTCCTCCTTATTGCTGCTGCAGCCGATGAAGAAGCATCGATTGCAAGATTGTTTGTATCCAATTAAGTAATTAACAAATATTTGGTAGAGAGTGTGGATATCCCCATCAAGTACAACCTCTAAACCGTCGGCACTGCTTCTGCGGTAGACGTTATGCTTGTTGGCTGACATTCATTTCCATCCATGAAGTGTTTTTACAGTTGTTGTTGGACAACTCACACGTAGACAGGATACCCCCGCGGTGTGGAGGGATTCGCGGCACGTCCGTCTATATATATATATATATATATATATATATATATATATATATATATATATATATATATATATATATATATATTGCAAAATGCATTTATATCATCATAGGATAATTTGAAGAGAATCTCAAAAAAAATCGCAAAAAAGTTTTCGGTCCCCATGCGCCGATTCCTCCTGGACTAGAGTTCATAATAGCGTAGAGTTTGTAAATCTGTTTACTAAAACTTATGAGGGCAATAAAAGTGATCTACATTTTATTTTCGTATAGTTCGTACGATTAAGTACTTTGACTATGATTTAGTATATTATAACATTTATATTTACATTATACATTATACTACCTATTGCATTAAAAACCACGTTCTGATTCCAAAGACAGTCAGAACCATAAAATATACAATGGCGTACTATGGTTTCATATAATATACTATACTGTCCCAGTTAAAAAAACACTGTAAAACAATAAAAGATTATTTATAGAAATTAGTTGACTAATTGACGGTAATAATTTGCAATATCTTATAGTTTTTTTGGTTTAAACTTTCAGATCGCATGAAAGTTTTTATTTTCCAGACGTAATGTTGTTTATAAACAATAATTTACATGAATTTTACTGTCAACCATTTCATTAAAACTAAAGTAACATCGCACTGCATAGTTTAATTTCGTTAATGTTTAAATTTTCAATCATACACAAAACTTGAATATTAAAAGACGTTAATTTTTTTTGCAAAAAAAAAAAAAAAACAAAGAAGTTCACACAGTATCCATCTACGAACACAACATTTTTATTTACAATGTACTGAGTAACAATCACTCAAAAATATTGAGTATTAGTGTCCTGTGCGTAACAAATCGATCAATATTTAACGATGTTACTGACGTAACTGCCATGCTTGGCACGCGGGTTGGCACTCGCAGTTTTTATTTTTAGTCGTTCTTAGGAAGACGATATATTATAAGAACTTATTAATTATACTGTATAAATATAAAACAGGAGATGGACACTGGGCAGTAGCATTTTCCTGATAAAATTTTAAAATAGCAACCCGCCCGCCAGAGTGGCTACTATGGCAAATGCCTATGAGGGGGACCTATATTCAGGTCTGGACTTTGATAAACTGCAATGATGATGATTTATTTTTAATTAAAATTATAATAATTATGATGTAATAAATAAGTAGAGACTACTCCGTCAAGAAATACCGCTGACTATAAAAAGCCTTATACCGTTAGTGGGCTTGGAAAGACTGAAGATGAAGCTTCATTATCTTACGTGACATCGCTTGACGACTTGTTATAAAAATGAAAGTGAAGCAGTGGTTGAGGAAAAGTGTAGAATATTGAAAATAGATCGGAAATGAACCTACTAGTCCACAATAAAGTGTTCAAAATATTAGTAACAAAATTAAATTAATCATATCATCACTCATCCCTAAACAGATTTTTAACGAACTTGTCGAATTATGGAAATTGGTATATTGACAATTATGGCACTGATAATCATAATCAAAGAGGTCAACGAATAATTTAACAAAAAATATATAACCAAATATAATGTGAGAATCAATAAATTGAGTTTTTTAATGGGCTTTAATGCGAAAAAGAAAACAAATGACACTGGCGTTCTAAGTTTTATTACGTAGGTACCTATACGCCACAGTTGACATACGACATATGACATGGTAACCACATAAAACAGTAGTTATTTTTAAGTTAACTTACATAAATACTTAAATTACTTATAAGGACATAATATACTTTTCATTGTATATACTTGATAGATTTACACTTTAGAGGCTTTAAATATTGTTAAAATATTTTTTCATGATGTTTGACCATAGAGTCTGTATATAGAGCAAATAGACGGTCACTATCTCCACAGAAACATTGTATAAATAATTTATTTGAAAAAGTTCACAATAGATGAAAATATAATATTGAAAACTAAACTAACATATTTATAAAAACCGTAAGTGAATGTAAATTTACTAATAAATAACATAATCTATACAAATAAATAAAATTGATGTGCCTGTTTGCAGTGTCAATATAACAGCTTTTGACTAAATGTTAAAGAAAGTATATACGGCACTTATAACAAAAAAGCAATTATTAAAATGTTTGTTTGTTTGCCTGTTTGTTTGTTCGATTTTGACGGGACTTCCACTGGCAGATAGCTGACGTTATAAGGAGTAACATAAGCTACTTTTATTATAGAGAAAAAAATAGGTTTCTGCGCAAAAAAATTAAAACCCATGAAATTTATTCGTAATAAATTCCACACGGGCGAAGTCAGGGGAACAGCTAGTTTTGTAGTAATTTAAATTTGATATGACATAAATACGGAGGCGATAAATAATATACAGTGTAAACAATAAAAAATATAATAAGGAGTGAAATATCTAATGTACTTATTATACAAGTTCAATATCTTTTAATTATATTTTTACTCTTCTAATGATTTCAAAAGTAAGTATTTACAGCATAGATTTTTTTATTATATGTTTGTATTACTTACAAAAATTGATCTTTGTAGTCTCCATTTTGCACTTAATTTATAAATTGAGGTATCAAAAATATTTTAATTTCGTACAAATTTGACCACGATACTCGTACTTACTAATTACTTATAATATAAAGTAAGCACGTAGTTTTACACTTGCATTGTCCAATTTGAATTCACTACGAAACATCCTTATGATTTTTTTTTAAGCGCAGTGACTTACTTCGAGGTTCGGGTGGAAAATGTATTAGACCAGGTGTTCTCTCTACGCTAAGAGAATACCCTCTGTCACGGACGGGAGGGTTCATATATATCATTGCAGAACCGCGACGTGAACTAATTGGCGGTCCAGAGCAGGAATCGTAAACCTGAACCACTTCACTCCTTAGTTCAGTTCCATCAGCAGATGTGTCGTCTGAATCTGTTTCTTCATCGTCTGTTTCAATTAATCTGAAAAATATGTTTATGTAATTTAAAAAAAACTCCTTGAAGTACAGTTTACTCATTCGCGTTGCAGAAAAAATCTTATGCCTAATCAGAATTCGCAAGTAGCTCTTAAAGTTTTTGTTCTGTATAATATGTAGTTATATCTCACCTAACTTCTAATTTGTTAATCCTCTGTTTTATTTTAGCTTGCTCCTCACCTACATCGGTAAGAAGCCCTTGTAAGCGATTATTAAGCATTTCAATGGTCGTTTCTAATTTGTGTACAGTTTCCTCCAAACTCTGTTGAGTGGTTTGGGCATTTTCAAATACAGTTTCATCGAGTAGACCATCCTGAAAAGTAATATAAATATATGGTTATTGTTTTTCTTAAATAGTGGAAATATTTTTTTTCTGTATTTATTCTTCTATACTATTAACAATTTAAAAAAAACGAACCTTTCTTAGTAACTGACAACCACGTTCAGTAAGCGTAGCTCTTGCATCAGGGTAATCTGCAAGAGCTTCCCATAAGTCTCTTTTTGCTAAGCAAAACAAATCTGAATAGCCAAGTGCACGAACATTTGCCGTTCTACGATTCCCGGTACGGTTTCCTGCAATCTCCAAAACGCTCACTTCTCCAAATACAGATCCAGCGCTTAATGTGGCTAGGACAGTTTTTCCATCGTCAGCCACTACTTGAAGTCTTCCTCTTTTGACTATATACATTTCTTTACCAACATCTCCTTTTCTGCAGATATAATCACCTGGACTGAACACTTGAAGTCTTAGTTTTAATACCAAAGCTTCTAAAAGTCCAGGTTCGCAATCTTGAAATATTCTTACTTTTCGCAACGTGTCTAAATGAACTCGAATAGCTATTTCTGCTTTTAATTTATCAGGTAATGATGACAAGACGTTTTCTTCGTCTAATGCCCCGCTTTGAGCCCAAGTATATGCAAACCATCTAATAACTCTTGCTTCGAGCTCACCACTTACTTTACGGAATGCCATATATTGTTTAACACCGTCCATTTTATTTTGGAATTCCACTCTAGCAACATTCATATTAGAAATCATTGATCCGATATTTCCAACTATAGTCGCGAAAATTAATACACCTGCCAAGAAGTCCGCAACGACAAAGAGATATTCGGCGTCTATTTCTGGTTGGGGTGTTTCGCCAATAGTGGTTAGAGTTAAAGTGGACCAATAAAAACTGTATATGTACTGATGAGCAAGAGACTCATTTCGAGAACCGGTCAAATTATAAACCCAATTATCCGTGCCGAATCCAATGGCGTAACTAATTGCGAAATAAAGACAAGCGTTCCAATGTATAAGAACGAGAATTGCCATCACGACCTGAAACAATTATGTGTTATGTGTGTGTTATTATTATTGAAATTGACATCTAATCAAAGATGTGGTAGATAGCGTAATTGATGTTGTAACCGACCTTGCATATTCGGAAAGCATTCGGATAACTAGTGGCGGTCTCGGTGCGATCGAACCACTCCCACATTCGAGGCAGGCGAAATAGTCTATTGAGTCGTACAATAACAGGGCACGGCAAACGTTTCTGGAACACAACCAATATTGACGCTTTCAGTAATAGACGAGATGAGGGATATTTCTCTTTGAGATATTTGTATATAATACCAAACTTTGTTAATACAAAATTATGCAATAGTTTAATCTATACTAACGTAGTCGCAAGAACCCGGTTTCCACCAATAATAAGCGACGTCCGTTGGCAGCAGTGAAATCAGATCGTATCTCCATGAATCTGATTTTAAATAATGTCGCCTTAGCATTTTTGAATCCTTTACCATAAGTCCTTGTTCCAGATAGCCTAAAATAAAATTTAAAAAAAAAACAATATATATAGGTATATAAAGCAATACAAAACAATCATTGTCTGTACAAATAATACTGGTAACATTAATTACATTTTGTAAATTAAACACATCTTTTCAACCAATTTCAAAAGAAGGAGGATTTTTTATTAAACATAAACACAAACTTGCACGCCTGTTACGAAGATGCGTAGGCAGAAACTATTGACTTACATTTGATCGATCCTAACACATCCTTCTCGCTTATTTCACTTCCTTAATCCTACGCATACGTCCTATCGCAATTAAATATTCCGACCGAATATTTTATTACATCAACATTGTTCATTAGAAAGCGGTCGGATCGGATTGTACTGTTCGGAAAAATTTATCGACCAAATTGGCGATTTATTGAAAACGGGCCAAATTAGGAGTACCCTTAACCGACGAGCATGTATGCGTAGGTGTATGGATGTGAAGGAGGCGAGAGAGGTGTGTCAGGATCATGCCAAATGGAGGTCTGTAGTCTCTGCCTACCCTTCTGGGTGACAGGCGTGAGTGTTTATGTTTTATGTTTATTACACTAAAATCTGCATCCCTTAAACTACTTCAACCTGTTCTGAAGTACTTAATCAAAATTTAAATAAATCGGTTCAATGTGTTCGAAAAATCGCTGATATACATCAAATAAACAAACGGTTTGAATATAGAATCTCCTCGTTTTTAGTTTCGTCAATTTAACTATTTTTGTTACTAACAAAACTAAATTGTTTTATTGTAGAATATTCAGCGTATGTATTTTGTCCAATAGTTCCTAGCATTTTGAGAACTGACCTGACCTGAATTTAGACCAAATCATCACGGTCGAATCTGAGAAAACCTCAAAAATTCGAGTATTTTTCATTTTCAAAATAATTGAAAGAACAGGACAATTATAAGATTAAAAACTTTTTAGACGCATCAGATTAGAATAAATTAGGTTATTATACCCATCGATCACTAGTTACAGGCAATTGTGTGACGAAAACGGCATTGCTATATTTGATCGGAAAAAGCAACTACATACGGTCGAATGTTTGTCTACACGTTAGCTAAATTTGATGACGCAAGGCGCGGCCCAACGCACGGCGTGTGGGTGTCAAATTGTTGATTTGCGAGTTCGTTCCGTAAGCAATATGTACTCGTAACTTGCTTCGCTGTGAGTTCAATTGGGTTTAAAGACCCTTGCAAAGTATTACGAAGACGCCACCTTTTATTTTTTAACAAACAACATATTTTTTTACAGTTGTATAGGTGTATAACCGGACAATACATTATAATTTTCAGTGAATATTAGGCATTCGCTACAAAAACAATTATAAGAATTTCAAAAATCGCATAGCTTCGCTCAGCATCGCAAATATTAATGAGTTTAATATTTTTTGCGTACCTTCGTGAACATGTATGACAGTGTCTATGAGGTAAATTATATCGCAGAGGTAGTCGAGCACAAACCAAAGCACGGTAAGGTTATCCAGCTCCCAGAACACCGCCCGGCCGATTACAAACACCATATTGTACAGGATTGCTAGAGACACCACCGCCAACCACTATGAAAATAAAATAAAGTTTGTATTAATTTTTATCTACCCACACTTTTTTTTTTTATATAGAATAGGCTGACAAACGAGCACACAGTCCACCTGACGGTAAGTGGTTGCTGCGGCCCATAGACATCTACATCTATCTTCCATTACAAATCAAAATGCAGATGCGTTGTCACCCGTGAGGACTGAGATGGAATGCCTCGTTTTCAGTAAAAAGGGTCTCCGGTTCTCTACACTCACCATACGAAATACAGCAGCATTAAGCTACTATTTCCCGCTGGTATTCTGTGAGAGCGTGGTCCTTTCCCGGTCGAGCCGACCCATTCGTGCTACAACTATACTACTAATATAACTGCAGCATGGCTCTACCACGTAGAAACACTTGAAAACTAATGACAAAATAACAGCAGTCTACCAAATGATAGGTAGCCCCAGGAGCCCATGAACAGCTTAATGCTGCTATGTTTCGTATGGTAAGTGCAGAAAATCGGATACCCTTTTTACTGGAAAAGAGGCATTTCGATTCGCAAACGATGATATGTGTAGATTTCTATGGGTCACAGCATCCACTTACCATCAAGTGGGCTGTGTGCTCGTTTGTCACCCTTAGCCTGTAAAAAAAGAAATCTCGTACCTCTGACGCTACTTTGTCGTTGATATATCGAGTGTCCGATTGTTTAAAAAAATATATCTCAAAAATGTCATGGTACTACCACCATGGCTTTTTTAGATATATTTTTTTAAATATTTGTTTTGAACGGCCATTTGTTCTTTTGTAAGACATTTCTTAGTTATCTATTACTTACGGAACAATATGTATGTATTTTACATCTAGTTATATTTAGAAAGTTTTCCCGTCATCTATCAGGGACTACGATATAAATATGTAATGGGTTCCCTTCGATCAAGTGGAACAAATCAATAACTTAAAAAATAAAAATAAAACAAAACATTAATCACAATAACTAATAAAATAAGAATTTAATTTATGATCGACGTATTCCATCGTGTGTGGTATTTAGTTGTCAGTTGTCACAGAAAGTAGACTCAGTCGACTATAGATGTGCAAAACATTAATAACACGTTACGTGCGACACAGAATGCATCCACTCGTGTTAATATATATTTATGTATCGCTTATGCAATCATATCGGATATCGGCGGAGAATAGGAATACAAGATCTAAAAACCAAAATATCTGGACAAAGTTTTAAAATTTCGAGATTTTGGGGTTGTTTTCGGGCGAAATAAATATTAAAAATAAAAATGTAAAACTTTTTTTTTAAATTAATAGGCTGCAAAAAATTGAACATTGTTGACACATAACTAATTTAAATACACCTAATTTTTAAGTCTATTTGGCATCTAAGTGTATTTGGCATCGGACTTTACTAGAGTCCATCAATTTGGATCCTTTAGTTGCACTCAAAAAATATTTCAAATTCAATTAATTTACTTCAAAGTAAATTGTTTGAATTTGAAATTACTAACTCAGCTTTTATTAAATCAAAGGTAGCTGCGATATGAAAAGAAACTGTTTGTTTGGAGATTTTGAGTTTTATCGAGAGTCTGGTGATCATTAAAAATGTCGGTAGTATCCAGACGTATCCCGACCATCTGGCAACTCTAGCGGGGAAACAGTGTTTGGAAATTGAGGCAACATCATAATAGTGGGGCTAACCTACTTGATACTCTACAATCGTTAAAGTTAATAGAAAACTATAAAAGCGAATGAATTCAAGGTACATGTGTAACTTATACACATGTCAAGTGACTTAACATTTAGATTTTTTATAGGGTCAGGGTGACAAGCTGTTAGGATATCTCCCCTTGGGTGCTTTTTAAAAAATACACTTTTCAATAGTGCAAAACTAATTTACACATCGGAATTTTATAGATTACAAGGAAGTTGTGTACAGAACAAAGGTTAGAATTTGACTGCTTGAATTATATGAATAACAGTATTGCCAAGTCAAAACCGGTCCGAGTCGCCAAAAATTTGACGCCAAGTAGTCTAAATTCACCTATTTCTTTTCCTGTAAAGTAGCTTAAAATCGCCTGCTGTAAGGTAATGCAGCTTATAAAGTCTGTATTAAAACGGAGACCTACTTTAATCAACCTCATTTTTGATTGTATCAGGATAAAATAATGCTGTTTTTGTTAAAAATTATTAATATTTACAAATTTAAACGAAATACTTTATTTACATGTAAAGAGATCTATGAAGTAGAAGAGGAAGAACTTAATTTTGTGGCGGCGCTATCGTCGCGCCACAAGAGAAAATGCACCAAAGCCTAAATCTGTAACGGCGGTGGGTTACAGATTTAGGCTTTGGTGCACTTTTGAATAATTGAATTGAGCGTTAAGTCTGTGGTATTTAGGATATATATTATGGAAATTGTGCAGTTTAATCATATGTTATATAGGTGTGAAATTGGTGCTCGTTTGTCACCCTTGTACTATTAAAAAAAAATAGTGTGTTTCATCAATCATCATAACTCGGATACGTTATAGTAAAACACACGAAATTAACCAACAATCGAATATGTAGAAAACAGGGGAAGGAAGGGGAATACCGGGCGTGGCGGCGTTGGCAATGGCAAACAATGCAAAATATATCCATTTCTCTTGATCTCTGAATCACTGTCATTAAATAATATTTATTACTCTGTGACAAAAAATATGTTTCATTATACGCATTTTTATTACATATGAGACATATTTAAAGAGAGATTAATTTAGCATATGTAACAATCGCCCTTGTTTTCTTCGAAGTAGCCTAAATTGCGACTAGTCACCAATCGCAATTTTTAGTCGCCTATAAGGCGAAAAATTGCCTAACTTGGCACCACTGATGAAAAATTACTTTTATATACCTACTTTACATAATGCTTACAATAGCAATTACTTACAGTGCCGGATTAAAAATCGCCGGACCCGTAGCAAATTTTTTCGTGGGGCCCTTGATCTGCTATGGGTTCTTAAGGGGAAATATAACCTCAAATGGCTTAGCAAGATCCTCCGTTATGCCGACTCCGCAGGAACCAAGCTTACGCGCCGATAGTTTAGGTAATTTCTTTTTACAGTGAAAATAATTATATTTTAAAAAAAGTAAATAACATAAGCACCTTTATCGTTAGTTCAGTTAGTATGCAAAGTTTCATGATCTTATTTAAAGTATTTTATGAATAACAGCGGTTTATTGTTCAGTTTGGAGGTAACTTTGGATTTTTTTTTCTATCGAGAAAATTTTACGGAATCGTGTTTTCGTCTAACATAAATCTTAACATTAATCCTCAACTTTACCATATATTTATTTCAAAATTAATGCTGCAATATTTCTGGCATAATGGAGGATCTTGCTAAGCCATTTGAGGTTATATTTCCCCTTAAGTATAAAGTGGTGAAAAACAATTCAATACTCAATACGTCTATTTGCCACCTATAGGCCACAATTTTGTTGGGTAGATTAGATTACCATAGTGGCCTGTAGACTCTGACGTGTACAAAAAGCTAAAGGTGAGAGAAATTTAAAACTGACGATACTACACAATTAATTGTAAATTTTTATTATTAAAGTTTATATGTATTGCAAAGTATTATATTTTATATTTATTTATCTGTTTCATTTACTACTTTTTAAAACTTTTACAAAGTAACGTTTCTACCTAGGTTTCATGTGGACAAAAGAGAGAAATAATTCTATCCATATCATATTTTCAAAGCAAACCATATTCTATATTCATCAGAAAGATAATTATGGCGTTCTTGACTCGTAGTGTTCCTTAATTTATTTTTTATACGGTTCAATGTCGAAAATAACGTTCACTACTGCGGTTATTGATCATGAGAGACAATAAATGCGTAAAGCTATTTCTAAATTGGTGAAACGTTATTCTAAAGAATTATTCATTAGAAATTTATAATATAGAATTTCTAGAGATTCGTTTGTGTACTGTCAATGGCACCAGCCCCATCGCTTTTGAACAGCTCGGAAAACTGCACTAATTTGTAGTCTATGCTATCTTCCAAACCATTTGCATAAGCACTGACATATAGTTTCTTTTAAAATCTCTTTTATGTTTTAGATTTTAACTGTCAAAATAGTAAAATAGTAAGTTAGACAGATAGTAAGTTATGAATAATGGCAACAAACACCTCAATTTCAAACTGTTTACTAGATGTTGCTTTTTCAATAAATTCTGCAAGGGTACTAGAAATGCAAAAATAGTAATATTTTGTGTTTCGCTTGTGTCGTTCGGAAGTCTGTTGCTATTCGGAACAGCCTATGAGATTGATGGCATTTGGTTCAATACCAGAAAATGCGGATCATGGGTGGTTATGATTTGGACATTTCCATAAACTGATTCATAAAGGATGTATCCCGTATTGAGTCTACATTAAATTGCAGCGACACACTAGTCGCTGGCACGCGTTCCAGTAATCAGTTGATGCTCTTCAAGGTAGCGCATGAGCTGGTAGTTAATAATGGATTCCATATTTTGGAGAACAAGGAGGTGAAATCGAAAATTGAAAAATGGTCGACGGTATGTTCCCTCCGTTGTCGAGAGTCGATTTGGACGCAAAAAAAGAGAACCTAAAAGATCGGCTTTCTCTTAATTCCCTTAGGCAGGAATTAGCCTTAGAGAGGGATCAGAATGCACGAGTTTCCTAAAGAAGGCGAACTAGTTCTCACCGATTCTTCCAATGTGCTCCGATTTTGGCTTAACGACAACTCTTTTGAAGGACCTGGAGGCAGATTTGTACTTCCTTTTGATTGCGCTAGTGCTTGCATCCCGGGACGCCGATGCGTCAACTCAGGCCTTATAACACTCCTGTTTTTGTCGCGATGCAATTTTGCAGGAGTGTCCAAGTCAAGGCTGACATCTGCCACCGATAGACATTACAAATGACGGTATGAAAAGTTCCATCCCCTTAAGCAATATGTCGGCGATAGACACAGCAATGATTTTTTTGGGATACCCGGAGTGAAGCAAATCTGT